ACTTCTGATTTCATTTTTTCTAGATCCTTTTTCATTGCCAGTTCAGAGAGTCCACGTGGTTGATTGTTCCATCTCACTGCCCTTTGTAATTGTCTTAGGAGATCTGGAAGTCTGATTTTGAGACTTACCTACACCCTTTCTCATTTCAATAGATGTGACCATCTGTGACTTTATTGCAGATACTTTTTGCAGGGCCAGTAATCTTCAATTCTGAGTAAGTCACTGAGCAGCATTTTCTCTTCTGTTCACCACTGCTCTAATTCATGGGTGGATCCCTGATCTGCCCTGCCCTGTTGTCTCAGCAGGTTTCTGGTTGGTGCCTGTGCACACTTAGGATGGTATCCTGATTGTGCCTCTAGGTGGGTCCAGCCCCCTTGCTTGTCTGTTTTCTGGGAATGTCTTCTGTTGTTGGCTATGCACCCAAGTCAGTCATGTCTGAATGGGGTTTGCATACACTTACCAATGATTTATGGGTGGGCATCTGCCTGTTGCTTGTCCTCCTGCATACTACTTTTCCAGGTGGGCTTTTGGCTAGGGTCTCTGGGCCCAAGCTGCTTGTTTCTTGGTGGAGCCCTGGCTGGGACCTGCCTGCACCTTCTCAGCTCTGATCCAAGCAGGTTTTTCCCTATGATCTCTGCACTTACAAATTAGATCTGGGAAGTCCCCTGGCTGTTTCTTGTTCACCTTTGCAGGTCTTTTCAGGGAGGGCCTCTGGCTCAGTTCCATGCACACCTGTACAGCTATAGTCCATGTATTCTTCTTTCTGGCATCTGTCTCAATTAAAATATTTGGGGGAAAATTAAATTATGTAATTCTCAGAAAATATTTATTATAACTAGTATTATGCTTCAATATTAGTGGTATGTAAGTATAAAATCCGAACGAATTAATAAATTTATTTTGCAATGACAAAATGGATGATTCATATTTAAAAAGCGTTTTTTTTTCTTCTTATTGAGTTTATTGGTACAATCTAGCTATACAATACAGTTACATTCATCATTGGGATTCTGTACCTTTACATAATAGTTCTTGATTCTCATTTTTTCCCCTTGTCCCTGCCCTCCCTTCACCCCCTCCTCCCCTCCCCATTTACAAACATATTATTTCCATTTTTTCAGTTTCTCATATTTTTTTCCTCTCCCTTATTACCTTTCCCCCACCCTTCCCACTTTCCCTACACCTTTAGCCCTTTTCTTCCTATTTCACATTATCAATTATCTCATTAGGATCCTGTGTACTATTATAGTTTTTCACAACAAAGAAACTATTCGGTATTTCAGTTAAAGAAATCTCTGTATGAACATTAAAAATAGGGAATCCTAAAATAAAACTAAAAAGGAAAGTAAAAGAGAAAAGGCAATGATGTAACATTAAAATAATCCTTAATTCTGGAGATGAAAATGGTCCCTGAACATATTTAAATTGCTTCTTGCTCTTATAGTCTTATCTTATTCTTTTTTTCATTATTTAGAGAATACTTTATTAGTTTCTGTAATCAAACCCACGTAGATATGACCTTACATATTTAGTACGATGTGTTACCCCTGTACACATGGAAAAAAAAAAAATAAAAATAAATCAACATTTCTAGACCAATATGGCTGTCCATTTCTGTACAATGCCAACTCAACACAGTAAATTGGGATGACTTTTTCCAAAGTTGGCAGCTTCATTAAAGTTTCCCAAAATTCAATTTATATATACATATATTTATATTTATATAAAAAGACTAATAATAGCAGTATGTAATGCATCGATAGCAGCAACAGCTTTTCCAGGTTCTGCAGTCATCTGAACAAAATTATAGACATTCAGCGCATTTCATTAAAAAATCAAAACCAAACAAAAAGAAACAAAGAAAAGAATAATATCCAGAAAAAAACAAAGTTCTGCTGCTGTTGTGGTACCTGGCACGATTTTTTTTTTTAATTGGTATCTTAATCATCATCTGGAAAGAGAAGATTCTAGAGTAATATCATTAAATGTAGCTCTGATAAAGTATGGTCCCTACTATGTATTATAAAGCAGATACAAGATATTTTACATTCATAGAGGTATGATACAGTATCGTCCTACAACAATAATACTACAATCAGTTTTGGTTTGAAATTTACTTTGTCTGTCAATAAGATTGCTGCCCCTGTTTTTTTCTGGGCTCCTGTCACATGGAGAATTGTTTTCTATATTTTCACTTTCAGTCTCTGGACTTCTTTTTGCACTAGGTGTGTTTCTTGTATACAACATATTGTTGGATTTTGCTTCTTATTCCATTTTGCCAGTCTATTTCTCTTGATTGGTGAGTTGAGGCCATTGACAGTGCTGGTTATAACTGATATGCACTGACTTATTATTGACATGTTATTGGCCTTTTGTTGACTCTTTCTACTTTTTCACCTTCTCCTTTTAATTTCTTGCCTTGCCTATTTGATTTGCTCTGTTGGGCCTCATGGTATTGCTGCCTTCATTGTCTTTTTCTAGGATCTTGTTTAAAATTCCTTGTCATGCTGGTCTGGGATTCATGTAGTTTCTCAGGTGTTCTTTGTTGTGTAAGTGTCTTATTTCCCCATCCATTTTGAAAGAGAGTTTTTCAGGATACATCAGTCTAGGTTGGAGGTTGTTCTCTTTTAGTACTTGAAATATCTCATTCCAAGCTCTCCTTGCCCCAAGGGTTTGTGTTGAAAAGTCTGCTGTAATTCTGATGGGCTTTCCTTTATATGTGATTTGTTTCTTTTCTCTTACTGCTTGTAGCACTTTGTTCTTCTTTTGGGTTTCTGGGATCTTGATTATTATATGTCTAGGTGTAGATTTTTTTTTATTGTAGCTAGTTGGGGTCCTATATTCCTCAGTTATCAGAATGGAATCCATGAAGTAGCAGGAGAAAATACAAATGACTTTAAAAAGCTGTTTGCAGAATTAATGACAGAAAACTTCCCAAACAGAGGGGAAGAATTTAAAAAGCTTTTGTACCTAACTCACTAAATATTCAAAAGTAAAATTTTAAAAATTATATTTTACTCATCTTAAAGTGTTAAATACTAATGTTAAATTCTTTAAGTGTTTGGCTATTCAGTTATTAGAAATGAGGGGGAATTACAACAATTAAACTGAAATAAATTGTGAATAAAGAATGCTCATGGCTAGAAGATTCAATGATAGAAGAATATCAGTATTTTCTACATTATGTAGCAATCTATGCAGTTTTAGTAAATATTCAATTATGTCTTTTAGTGAAACAACTATTGATAGGATGGTTGTATGCTTCATGATGTGAAGTACTATGGCAATAAATGGTTCACAGAATTTGTCAGATTATGGTGGTTTGTCAATAATTTCTTGCTGATTGAATAAAAACTCAGACAACACATACAGATATTTATTTTACATACAGAAGGCACTTTAGTTTATGAAAAGAGAAATGCTAATATGGATTTGCCAGATTTATAAGGACAATGAAATGTCATCCATGGCATCATAAATAAAATGGCCAGTACCAATAAGTAACTATTCCTAAATAAAATTGTATATATTTATAAGAAAAGAGATAATTTTGCCTCAACTATCCATGAGCATTTAGTGGGAAGGTGGGAATAGGAAGGAAAAACTGAAATTGCAGTGATAATTTGAATTTCTCACTAAATTTGGAGTCTTGTGTGATGTGTCCAGATTCTCAGTATGCCAACATTCAGAGACATGACTGCCTCAAAAAGTCTGCGTAAAGATAAAAAGAGAAAACTAAACAAAAATAGACTAAGACTAGAAAAATGTTCATTCTAGTAAAAAAACTTTAGATAATCATGAAAAAGTTTCATAAAGCAGAAAGAGAAACAAAAAATTTCTTTAAATGGCATACATAAAAGTGGTGTATTTTAAAGATATAGAGAAAATATTTTACAAAAATATAACATAAATGAGTACACATTAAGTTATTTGAAAATGTAATATTACAAATTTAAAAACCATTAACATAACTTTCCTAAGAGAAAATAAAATCTCACATAATATCATGTCTATTATCAAAATTGAGCTCCCAATTATTTTTTCCACAATTATTGATATGTAAATGTTTTCATCATTGAACATAGAAGCATTCAATGGCATATCATATCAATTTGCTCTAGAAAGTTTGAAAAATGAAACTTTGGAAAACAGTTTGTTTTATGAAATAAGATACACCTTACCCACCACACTTTACATTTCAAGTTTTAGAAAAACACCTTTATATGTTTTTCATCTTTTACTAAATTCACTTTGCTATTCCTAATTAAAAGATAATTTTAGGGAGACTATATTTTGTATGCCATACTTATGTATATGATAAAACTTCTGCTAATAGCACATGGAATAGATAATGATCTCAAAAACAAGAAAACATCTGAAAATTAAAAATCTTTTCATGATTTATAAAGAAAAGGTAAGGGGAAAGAATGAGAATCAAGACTTGCCATGTAGAGGTACATGATCCCAACAATGAATGTAACTGTACTGTATCCCTAAAATGTACCAATAAACTCAATAAAATTAAAACAAAAAAAAAGAAAAAAATGGCAAACCAACAATTGCTAAAATAGAAGTAGGATTAAAGTCTCTTAGTACATGCATTTCATGTAAACTATGGTAAATGAATTATATATTTCCATTTAATGCTGAAACAAAAAAAAATTCTACAAGCATATTCCACATTGTTACTTCAACCAGGAAATATGCTGGAAGTTTTGACTAAAGAAAATCAGGTTTTTAATTATTCAAGGAGAAGGGAAAATACTGTCATGGAAATAGTAAACATGTACTATGAGGAAAAATTTGTTTTGTTCTCTTCACTATGAAGAAGATGGGTGGTACTATGTGCAAAACAGAGTCTATGCAATGTTTTACTTTGTGCTCAGAACAACAAAGGAGAACATTTCACACCAACTTTTCCAGTGAATTTCTGTGTGGGGGCAGAGATATAAATAATGACAAAGATAAACTTGGAATGATAACAGTTTGCATTTCACTAGATATGGAGCAGTGTGTGAAATGTCCAGATCATCAGTATGCCAACACTCAGCAAAATCACTGCATTGAAAAGCCTGTGACATTTCTGACTTATGAAGATCCCATGGGGAAGGCTCTGGTTGGCACTGCACTGAGTCTCACTGATCTCACAGTGGCTGTTCTTGGGCTCTTTGTGAAGCACCAAGACACTCCCATTGTCAAGGCCAACAACAGAAATCTCAGTTACATCCTGCTCACCTCTCTCATCTTCTGCTTTCTCTGCTCTTTACTCTTCATTCATTGGTCGTCCCAGCACAGTCACCTGCATCCTCAGACAGACCACATTTGGAGTTGTATTCACTGTGGCCATTTCCTCTGTATTGGCTAAAACCATCACAGTGATTCTGGCCTTTAAGGTCACTGCTCCAGGCAGAAGAATGAGGCAGTTGTTGGTATCAGGGGCACCTAACTACATCATTCCCACCTGCTGTCTGATCCAACTCATTATCTCTGCAGTCTGGATGGGAACAAATCCACCTTACATTGACACAGATGCACACTCTGAACATGGTCACATCATCATTGTGCAATAAGGGTTCAATCATTGCCTTCTACTGTGTCCTGGGATACCTGGGCTCCCTGGTCCTGGTGAGCTTCACTCTAGCTTTCCTGGCCAGAAACCTGCCTGACATATTCAATGAAGCCAAGTTTCTGACTTTCAGCATGCTGGTATTCTGCATTGTGTGGGTCACCTTTCTCCCTGTGCACCACAGCACCAATGGGAAGGTCATGGTGGCCATGGAGGTCTTCTCCATCTTGGCTTCCAGTGCAGGGATGCTAGGGTGCATCTTTGCCCCCAAGTGTTATATTATTTTACTAAGCACAGATAGACATTCTTTGCCTAAATTCAATGATAAAATATATACTAGAAGTAAAAAACCTTATTAAATTTAATGATGTAATTTTTTCTGAAATACATAGAGGAGCTTGAGTAATCTACACCCTTTATTTAGAGAAATGTTAAATAGAAACATGGATTTCATGAACCAATTTTCCTTATTTTTCTAGTAGTATAGCATTCAGTAAAATATGTAGCCATCATCACTATAATGTAAAATTTTTCTGGATATATTTGTTCTTCCAGTACAATCTAATTGTATTTCCAGTATGTTTGCTTAGACTCCCCTTTTAATTTTTAAACTATTTATTTTTGCAATATTTGTGATTAATTTCAAGCACCCTCACACTGAGACACATCCCTAGACCTTTGCAAGTTCCTTCTTTGAGGAAAATTCTTATGAAGTGCCTAAATAGCTGATGGTGGCCTTGAACTTGTATCCTCCAATTCAAGCGCATGCAGTGAAGAGTAAATCCACTTATACTAGGATTAATATAGTAGTCAAATGCTATGAAAGGTATAGACATAGGAAAGGTTCATAGGCAGGGTTTCTAATTAGTGGATGTTGAGTAAATCTAAAGAACAATAATATGTAGTCTTGGTAAAATATGGTAAAATGAATTAGGCATGGTTGTGGACTTCTATAATTTAAGGTATTTCTGAGTCTAAGAGAATCATTTGAATTCATAAATTGGAGATGCTCCTGAGAAGCATAGGGAGAACCCATTTGTATTAAAAAAAACACACACACACAAATGTGTTCATATATGTTATATATATATGTCACATGTTATGCATCGTATATATTGTGTCACATATATTGTGTTGTTAAGTCACATATATGTGTGTATGT